CCCTCACCAACTTAGCATCTAACTCAGTATATTTCAGAAACTTGTAATTCAGAAAGAAGAAAATTGTCAAAGGAAGATCTCAGATGTAAAAAGAAATGGTGAGGAAAAAAAAGTAAACTTGTAGGCAAATCTAAACAAATTGTTAACTGTGTAGAACAGCATAATAATTTTTAATTTGTTTCATTAAAAAAATCAAGAAAGAACTTAAATCTTAGAGAGTAATAGCATATAAGTTAAGAATAGCAGTACCTGGAGTTAAAGATTCTAAGGTGTTTACATTATTTGGGAGGAGGACAAAAATACTGATTAACTTGAATATAAATAACTGAAGATGATATTAAAATGTTTAAGGTGGGGTGCCTAGGTGGCTCGGTCAACTAAGCATCTCACTTCAGCTCCTGTCATGATCTCAGAGTTTCTGGGATCAAGCTCAGTGTTGGGCTCTGCGCTCAGCAGGGCATCTGCCTCTTCCTCTCCCCTTATCCTTTCCCAACTTGTGCTCTCTCTCTCTCTCTTAAATAAATAAAAAAAGAATAAACAAAAATAAATAAAATGTCTAGGGTACCCTCTAAAAAAACAAAAAATAAATTAAACTTAGCCAGAAGGCAAGAAAGGGAGGGTGTGGTGGGGAAAACGTATTAGAACAAATAAACATCACAAAATAAGATAGAGGTACTGAATATCAATAATTTGGTAAACGGAATAAATGTAAATGGGCTAAAGTCTCCAAGAAAAGGCAAAGACTGTCAGACTAAACATTCCAAATTCAGCTGCATGATATTTACAGTAAACACATCTAAAACATAAAGATACAAGAAAAATAATAGTAATAGACACATTATTAAAGCTGGAGAAGGTCATGATACATGATTTGGTTTATGAGGAAGATGAAACAATTTCTAATTTGAGTGTCCTAATAACATCAGCTCAAAATAAGCCAAAAATTGCAAGCTACAAAAAGAATTAAGTAAATTCATTACAGTGAAAGATTTGTATCTTTGAGTAATTGACAGTCCATGTAGACAAAAAACACACAAAGCATACAAGATTTAAACAACATATTATTATGTTTCATTTTATGGACACATAGAATTCTGCTCGCAACAATAATGTAAACATATTCTTTTCATGAATAAACAATTTTAATGTAAAATGAAGATATTATAGTCTAAGGCAAGTTTCTATAGTTGAACTATATGAAATTGGTATTTATATGTCAAAAACAGCTAAAAATCATAATTATGTATTGTTCAATTTAAGATTTCAAATACTCTATAATTTATAGACCAAAACTTCTGACAACAATTTCGTTGGAACTTGGTAACCTCCCCCCCAAAATTAAATTCCCATGTGTTTGGAATATTAAAAATATCTAAGTAATTGAGGAGCTAAAAAAGAAATAATAATAAAAACAATAAAAACTTAGAATTAAACATTGAACATTCTATTTATCAAAATTGTGGGAATTAGCAAAAATGATACATAATGGAAAGCATATAGTCTTAAGTGCTTATTTTTAAGTATAATGATTTTTTTCTCTCAATTTAAGAAGTTATAAAAATTTAAAAATAAGCCTTCTCCAAATAATAGCAGAAATTGATAAAACAGAAAAATAGAGAAGAGCAACAAAACCAAAAGTTTTTTTGAAAAGGCTAACCAAATTGATAAACCTCTAACAAGCTTGATCAAAAAAGATGGGTGAAAGAGAGACAGCAGAGACCACAAGACTATAAATAAACATAACTAAAATGAAATGCAACTACAGATGGAGCAAGGTTTAAGAAATTTAGAAGAAAATACTATTAATAACTTTTTGTTAGCAAATTTGAAAGCTTAAGTGAAATGGACAAATTCTATAATAAATTAAATTCCTGAAACAAACTAAACAGAAAAAGAAGCTGAATGTGTCTACAGTTACTGAAGAAAGTGAATTAATCATTTAAAAACAAAACAAAAAATCCCACCAAGAAAACACCACACTCAAATAGTTTTACAGGAGAGAAAAGAAAAGGAAAAAACTTACTCCGCAGTTCATTTTATGAAGCTAATACAACTTTAATGCCAAACCAAACAAAGGCAATATAAGGAAGGGAAAGTACATATCAATCTCAGTCAAGATAATAAACACAAAATGTACTAAATCAAATATTACCACATTGAACCCAACTATATTTTTAAAATGTTTCATAAACACATGGTTGATTTAACATGAGAAAAATCTGTTCATTTATTTACTAAAGACTGAAGGAGAAAAATGATATGGTCATCTCAATAGATGCAGAAAAAGTATTTGATGAATTCAGTAACAATTAATGATCAAAAACTATTAGTAAGTCAGAAATAGAAGAGAACATCCTGCAAGTTATAAAGAATATCTATGAAAAACCAAGACTAAACATCATGCTCAATGGCAAAACATTAAAAGCACTCTATAAAATCAGTAATACTTGCAAAGATATCTGTTATCTCCATTTCCAACATTTACTGGAGGTTTGGTCAATATCAGCATGTATGCTCACATAGACAGACACACACACACACACACACACACACACACACACGAATATAGAAGGACTTGGAAGAAGGAAATAAAATGCCATTTTATTATTTATATCAATTGTCTTTATGGAAAACCCAAAAGGATTAATACATGTATAAACTATTTGGAATTAAAAAGATTTAGAAAGTATTTTATGCATTAAGAGCACTACACAAAAGCCAACTGCACATGTATGACCAGCAATAACATTAGAAAAAGTAAATTTTTAAAAGATACCACTTATAATAACTAAAATAATTGAATTATAAAGAACTATAATTGTTTAAACAAAATATATATAAGAACTTTATGAAGAAAATAGTAAATGTTAATAAAAGATTTTAAAAATCTATATAAATATGGGAAAGTACCATGCTCATGGGTGAGAAAATGAATTATCTTAAGTGTCAATTGCAAAAAAAAAAGTGTCAACTGCCTTCCAAAATTAATCTATAGAATCAAAACTGTTCCCTTCAAAATCCCACCAAAGTTTTTACAGAACTTGAAAAGCTGATGTTAAGATTTATTTAAAAAAAAAAAAAGGAAAAGAATGGTCAAGAAACCGCTATAGAAGAAAAACTGGTAGGTGAATGGGGGTTAGAAAAAAACCTGACCAACCAGTTATCAAAAATTATTCTAAAATTACAACATTAAGACTGAAGATTTGCAGTGAAATAAGAGTTTAAAAAGAGACTCACATGTATACAGAAAGTTGATATACTGCAGAGAAGTCAGAGCAGATTAGTGAGATCAGGATGAATTATCCAAGATATGTTGTGAGGACATTTGGTAAAAGTAAAATTGTATCTCTATCCTACATCATACACGAAATTTCAGATGAATTAAGAATTTAAGTGTAAACATCAAAACATTTAAACTTCAGGATGTATAGATGTTGATGATTTCATGGTTGGGAAAAATTTCTAAATGATAACATGTTGAAAATAAAGAGAAAAAAATTTAAATAATAAAATTTAGCAGTTTGGTTCACCAAAACACACCATAAAGGGATTGAGAAGACAAGTCACAAAGTGAGAAAAAATATTTAAAACACATATAACAAAGAACAATATCCAAGTTACATAAAGAACTCCCATAAATCAATATGAAAAACAATCCAAAAGAAAAATGGACAAAGATTTTTTAATTTATTTTTATTTTTAAAAAATATTTTATTTATTTATTTACTTATTTACTTATTTATTTGTCAGAGAGAGAGAGAGCACAAGCAGGCAGAGGCAGAGAGAGAAGCAGGCTCCCCGCTGAGCAAGAAGCCTGATGCGGGACTCGATCCCAGGACCCCAGGATCATGAGTGGAGCTGAAGGCAGTGGTTCAATCAACTGAGCCACCCAGGCATCCCACTGTTTTGTTTTGTTTTTTTTAAAGAAAAAGATGTTTTTTAAAGAGGATTTTATATAAGAGAAATGATAAATGGCTTATGAGCATATGAAAAAACATTCAACTTCTTTGGGAATCAGAGAAATACAAATTAAAAGGACAATAAGATACCCAAGTATTGGTTAGGACATGGAGCAATGGGGACTGTCAAACCTGGCTCACGGAGCTTAAATTGGCTACTATTATTCTGTAAACATTTTAGCATCAGTAAAGCTAAAGATGTATATTTCATGACTCAGAAATTCCATACCTGGGAATATACTCTAGAAAAATTTTTACACATACATACCAGAAGATAAATACAAGAATGTATTATCTTACTTGGTGGGGTCAAAATAAGAAATTATTATGAAATATTTAAGTAAGCATCATATAACATATTTATCCAAAATTGATATTTATGGAACACATAAATATTCTCTTCATGGACTTCATTAATTATTAAATTTATTAATAAATGTCAACAATATCCTTTTGTAAATGCAGAGATAAAACACACCTGACACATCGATTTTTGATATATCATGAATGACTTTTTGTTTGCACTGACAGGCATATATACTTTAATCACCAAAGACTAAACTGAGCATTTATAAAAGAAAGTCCTTTTTGAAGATTATTTCAATTTAATCAGGATTAAAATAAATAATACTTTTATCCTTATAAACTTTAAATAAATTTAGTTTTAAAATCATACTTAATCAGAAAATATACAAAAGGAAACAATAAGAATAGGGAGAGCCTGGTGTCCTATGGTCTTCCTTAATAACAATCCATTTTCAAGAGACTGTAATCTACTCAACAGAAAGCGTTCTACCAAGGATATTAATCAGATTCTAAGAAAATTCACACTCAAAATAATAAGCCACTAAAACCAAAACAATGTAGGTATTAGCAGCTATACAAGAAGTCAGCCTCTCTCTGATGAGTCATTTCTAAAATAATGAACATCTACGTCTTTGCTTTGAAATGTTTCTATTCAAGCTGGAAAATATATAAAGGTAGGAATCACCTACAAAGTAGGTTGACTGAGAAATTTTTCTTCATTTTCCATAGTCTTATTTGACTCCATGCAAACATCAAACTAAGAATGGCAAAAATGAGTCTCTCTTCCTACCTATTAATACTAACTTTTTCTCTGTTTTCTCAAGGCATTTTACTTTCAGCATCCAAGTCCATAAGAAATTTAGAAGATGACATGGTATTTAATACATTCAAGCTGGGGAAAGCCTTTCAGAAGGAAGATACTCCACAAAAAGCAGTTGCTGCTCCTTCTCTGGAACAATATAAAAATGATGAGAGCAGTTTCATGAATGATGAGGAAAACAAAAATTCAAAGGTAAGTGGCAATGTGACTTATCCTTTCTTCAATGGAAATCTGAATGATTTTTATGATGAAAGTAAAATTGATACTTTTATAAATAGAAGTATATATAAACCATCACACTAAGCTTTAGGCAACTGATGAAATTTCATAAACACCAGGTTGTTCTTCCTCTCTGTACAACACTCTTATCCAAAAGTTTTTGCCCCAAAATTTTTACCTAATGTATTTTTAAAGAGTCAATACTGTACAGACCATCTTTGAATTGATCAATGAGAATATTATACAAATATATTATAGTCCTATTACCAGTAAGACAGCTAAAACACAAATCAACCTTTTCTTTACAGAACACAGACTCCAAACATAATTTCTTAAATCATGGTCTGCCACTGAATCTGGCTATAAAACCTTATCTTGCACTAAAAGGATCTGTAGCTTTTCCAGCTGAAAATGGAGTTCAGAATATTGAATCAACACAAGAAAAGAGAGAAATTGGGGATGAAGAAAACTCAGCTAAATTTCCTATAGGAAGGAGAGATTTTGACAGTGAGTAGTCTTTTAAAAAATTCAATTCTTATATCTTAATATCATGAAAATAGAAACTCGGAGTTTAACTGGATTTGGATCTGATCTTAACAAAATCAAGTAAGACCATGGTTCAATTAAGTGACCCCTGCCAAAGATGTGGGATTAAAAGGCATTTAAGGGTTATTATAATTCTGATTTATTCAGAATTAGCTATATTAGATCCATTCTCTTATTTCTAATAAATTTTGTGTGATTATAATAGTGCTTTAAACAATTTAAACTTTTTTTTCCCCTCCAGTGCTCAGATGCATGCTGGGAAGAGTCTACCGACCTTGCTGGCAAGTCTGAAACCTGTTGGACAACATCATCTTTTCCGAAGAAAACAAAACCATTTAATTGTCTGTCAGGGAAAAAGCCCTTAACATTACTATGACTTGTGTTATTTTAAATGTTTGTTTCAAAAGAAAGCAGCTGCTAACATATATCTGTAGCCTAAATGATATGATTTATCTGTGCATTAAACTTTGTGAATATTCTGCATAATGACTTACTAGTATTTTTTAAATGCTTAACTTACTAACCTTATATATACTTCAGACCAACATAATAAAGAATCATAACCTATGCCTTGCTCTCTTAAAAATTAAGTAGATGCCTTTGGCAAATAGTTTAATATACACAGAAATCTAAAGCACATAAAAACCTAATTCATAGTCTAAAAAATTGAGTTAACTTTGTCTGGCCAGTAATCAATTTGTCCTTGGCTGTACACTTATTGTTTTTTGCTACTCTGGCTACTTTGCCACACGATTTATTCTGGAAATTGTTTGATGTCTCAGGTATCTTAATATTTTTATGTTGAGGTGGTTCATTTCCACTATCACAGAGATTATTTTTATCATCTAAATCCACCTGTTTCCTTTTTGAGCTTTTATTTCCTGTCTGACTACTTGATTTTCTTGCCACTTTTTCAATTTTACTTCTATCCAGATGAACATTTCCAGAACTTGTTCCAATTGCTGGCCTTCCAACAGATGAATTTACACCTTCTGTTATGCAAGATGAAAAAAGGAAAGAAATTACATAATGTTTAGAATTACATGTGAAAATTACAATAAACTTTAAAAATCACTAAAGAATATTCAAAAATTTGATTTGCAATCACATATAAGTCACATGATTAACAAATACAGCTACATTACTAGCACCTTACTTTCCATTTACCATATCATTTTTTTATCCCTCCAAACAACAAATATTTGCTTTCCTTGAGTGCATGACACTTAATCTTTAAATGCTACATGTTATTTCTTAAATATATTTAGTTAATCCGTGTCCTATTCCTCCTAGATTTGTACCTAGGTTTAACTTTTTAAATAAGCCCGTCTTAAAAATATAAACCTTTACATTTCACATTTCATATTTTTCAAAAAGAAATCTTATTTTACTTAAGTTAAAAACCAGTTCGGGGTGCCTGGGTGGCTCAGTTGAGTAAACATCTTCCTTCTGCTCAGGTCATGTTCCCAGGGCCCTGGGATCAAGCCCAACATATTGGCACTCTGCTTAGGCGGGGGAGTCAACTTCTCCCTCTGCCCTTCTGCCTGCTTATGCTCTCTCTCTTCAGCGTGCTCTTTCTCTCTCACTCAAATACATAAAATCTTTAAAAAAAACCAAAAAACAAATAATACACTAGAATTAAATAGTTATTTAATTACTCAAATAAGTTCAATTACCAGAAAGGTCATTTTCCATGGGAAGTTCATACAAAGGCTTGGATGCTGAATTAACATCATTCCATTTATCCTTGTTTATTGTGCAGTCATCTTTATAAGTACAAGCAAACTGGGATCTAATTAAGGTTTGTTTCATCTAGTAAAAGGAAGACAGAAGAACATATACAGTTTTTTAATTTGATTTATTTTATTTTTTTCATCCAGACAGAAAAATATTCTATGATAATCAAGATACAAAATTTCCCTTAAAAACTCCATTATTAGGGGGTAGGAAAAGAATAAATGAAACAAGATGGGATCGGGAGGGAGACAAACCAAAAGAGACTCTTAATGTCCCAAAACAAACTGAGAGGGGCCGGGGGGAGGGGTGTAGGGAGAGGGTGGTGGGGTTACGGACATTGGGGAGGGTATGTGCTATGGTGAGTGCTGTGAACTGTGTAAACCTGGCAATTCACAGACTTGTACCCCTTGGGCTAATAATACATTATATGTTTATAAAAAATTTTAAAAATTAAAAAAAAAACTCCATTATTCATTGGGAATTTTTAACCCTTGATGTTTCATAATTTACTCATCCATTGTTACACAGGCATAGTAATACCAGCTTTTTATACCTTTTAACAGCTTAGAAAAATCAACTTTAGACTCCAGAATGTGTGACTACTTGAATATTTAGGAAAATAAGAAAGATGATTCAAATTATACCATTCTAGGAAGATCTGACCAAGTGATTTAATGGTCAAATATTCAAAATAAACTCTTGCATTTATCTTCAAAGATCATAAGTAAGAGAAAATCAGGAAGCTAAATTTAATTCTTAACCACAAAAAAAGAATGTCAAGAAAGTAATTTAGGAAATGTATTCTGCAAACATAAAACCAGTGGCCACTTTAGGGACAGAAATTAATTTCAGAACAAAGTAACCTCTATGGATAATGCAAATTTCAGTAAATTACAGCTGATGTGTAATGACATTCAGTTATTATGGAGAGATAGCTTCAAATTGAGATGTCAAATCCTTTTCAGAAATAGATGTTTAAATTTCAGATAAATGAATAAGGAAGACTTTAAAAATTCAAAAATTTAACACTTCAAAGCATAACTATATTATGTTGAATATTATTACAAAATATTGATTGATAACAATGTTGTTCATAAGGTCTGAAAAAGCACAATTTTATACTTCATATTCAGTAGTTAAATACTATATTATACATTCAGAGAGATCACTGCATTAACCAACTTAGATGTTAGCAAAGATAATGGCAGTGAAATCCATAGACTAAGGTTTAAAAGAAATTAGATTAACCCAGTTGCTTTATCAAAGCAAGTGTTTCCAGGGAGCACCTAGGTGACTCAGTTGGTTTACTGTCCAACTCTTGATTCCAGATCAAGTCATGATCTCAGGGTCCTGAGACTGAGCCCCGGGTCAGGCTCCAAGTTTAGCAGGGAGTCTGTTTCTCTCCTTCTCCCTTTACCTCTGCACCTCCCCCATGCTTTTGTTCTCACCTGCTCTCTTTCTCTCTCGCTCTCAAATAAATAAATAAATGGATCTTAAAAAAAAAAGAAAAGAAAAAGCAAGTGTTTCCAGGATGACTTTATATACTTCTGACGAATGGTGTCTATGAGAGCTCCAGTTCCCACATTAAAAATTATGAAAAACAATCTGAGGGTTTTGAAGGGGCGGGGGGTGGGAGGTTGGGGGATCCAGGTGGTGGGTATTGGAGAGGGCATGGATTGCATGGAGCACTGGGTCTGGTGCAAAAATAATGAATACTGTTACGCTGAAAAAATTAAAAATTAAAAAAATTATGTTCAATTTGCTTGAAAATTAAAAAAATTGGAGTTTGGTATCTTTCATTTTAAGCACCAAAATTCACAAAATTGAAAAAAATGTGAAGATGTAAAAGATCAAAAACTATTTTAAAAAGTAGAAGAGAGTATGGGGCGCCTGGGTGGCTCAGTGCATTAAAGCCTCTGCCTTCGGCTCAGGTCATGATCCCAGGGTACTGGGATTGAGCCCCGCATCGGGCTCTCTGCTCAGCGAGGACCCTGCTTCCCCTTCTTTCTCAGTCTGTCTCTCTGCCTGCTTGTGACCTGTCAAATGGATAAACTAAAAAAAAAAAAAAAAAAAAAGTAGAAGAGAGTAGTAGTAGGCTCTTGATTATGGATGATGGACTACAACCCAATATCTTCCTGAATCTCTATGAATACAACTACTATTCTACAGTTTCCATCATGAGATGCCCTAAAATTCAACCAAAGGTTTTAACTAGCCCTTTCTGGACTTTATTAATTCCATAAGTAAAGAATTAAAGCGAACGATTAAAGCTATTAAAATAAATTTCGTTAATAAAATGAACTCTGTAAAGTTTATACTATATCACATTGTTACTATAATAACATTATCAAAAACCTTTTATTACTTTCTGCAAAACCAGTACTAACTGTTGATGTTATCTTTATTATTATTATTATCATTACTATTATCTGTGACATTATACATTTCTTTCATTTCACCAGAGTTACTGCTTAGAGACAATAAACTTATTCTGGGCAAATAAAATTATTGCCCATAATGAGTTAAAAGAGTATGGTAAGACCATGAAGGCAAATGAATGCTAAGTGGTTGTCTAGGATTGCTTTTGTAGTACCCAGATAGTGAATGCATCTGTGAGTGGCTTGGAAGACTTTAGCATCTCACCACAAAATCTTCATCAGCAGCCCCATAAAATACCCTAAATAAAAATACAATAATTATGGGTGCCTGGGTGGCTCAGATGGTTAAGCGTCTGCCTTCAGCTCTGGTCATGATCCCAGGGTTCTGGGATCGAGTTCCACATCAGGCTCCCTGCTGTGCAGGGAGCCTGCTTCTGCATTTCCCTCTACTGCTCCCCCTGCTTGTGCTCTTTGGCTCTCTCTGTCAAATAAATAAATAAAATATTTTTTAAAAATTAAAATAAATAAAAATTAAAATACAATAATTATATTATTTAGGATGGGAAATTGATGTTTTCTCAATCTCATGGTTAGCAAAAATAAACATTTCTTTAGAAAGCTGTGTTATTTTTAATAATTTTTGACACACACCTAAGTAAAAACCTTTCCTTGCTGTGTAAATACACAGTCACAAAATAAGTGTCATAGTCCTTACACTAGATTTCCTCTCTTTAGGCCTCCTATAGAAAAATTTGTGAGCTTCAGTGACAGTAGGGTAATTTCAGAAAACCAGAATTACAAGGTAATGGATTTTTAAAATACTGAGAATGGATTCAGATGTAAAAGGAAATAGTTAACCACTTTATTCATCATAAAATATATTATTTATAAAAATATTAAAATATGAGAACCATAACAATTCTATGGTAATCTTTGGATACTTATGTCTAAAGGAAATAACTGAGTATTTACATTGAAGGTATTTTTTTCTTTTTGGAGAAGATTATATATGAGTTTTCCTTTCCTTGCCCTGTACAAAAATCTCTTTTTATCAATTATGACTTATTAAGTTCCAACCATAGGCACACAGAATACTAAAGAGATTACTAAAATGGCTCCTATAATTACAAAGACATTTCACTTATAAAATCTGCTTTTGACACACAGCTGGAAGAAATAATAAATTGGATAACAGACTCAAGATTGAAAAGATGTCAGAAAGCTAGAACCATAAGTAGAAAACAATAAGATGAGAATGAGTGAGGATAAACAAAGTCCTGTATTTAAGTTCAAAATATCAATTACAGATGAGGATGAGGAAAACTTGACTTAAAAACAACATATGAAAAAGAGCTAGAGATTCTCATTGATCATGAACCTGACTGGAGCCAACAATGTGATGTCTGGCTAAAAAGATCAGCACAAAAAGACAATGATGTGATGGCAAAGGCACCAGATTTGTAGTTAATACTACCAGATTTGCTTTCTAATACTGGCCCTATCACTTATAATCTAGATGATTTCATGTAAACTTATGAACTTCTCCCACTTATCCCATAACTGAGAATAATATTTATCTCACAGAACAGTCAGAATTAAATAGTTTAAAATTTGAAAGGACTATATAAGTTCTAGAGATCCATGTAGATACCATGTAATTAATTAATGTAATAACATCTATGAAGACAGTTTTTCTGTAGAGTAGTAATCTGTTTAATTAGATTCCTCAAGACCAAGCCAACTCAAATTATTCTAGAATTACAACTCAAAAACTGAACTTATAATCAGCATCTTCATTTTAGTTATTACAACAATACAAGCTGCACTGGCTTGTATTTATAACTTAAAAGAGATTGCTTTTCCTTTGTTCATAAAAGTTGAATTTTTCTGCACAGGATTAGTGGCTACATAGAATTGAGACTACTTCCTGTGGCAAATCTTCCAAATCTCTCTGTGTATTTAATTTGGAATCACAAACAAGCAAAACAATTCCCTCTTGAAAGTGCTTTTGAAGTACTAAACAACTAAGAATATTCATACATGGCTGTTAAAATCATTTTATGTTCAAGTCACATGAGAGAAAAGGATTGAACATTTTCCTTTGTAGAGTGATTTCCCCCCTTTGGAAAGATTTCTATCCACAGTAAAATTGCAATGAGCTTCAAACTTGCCGAGAATTGGAAAAGTCCTTTTGCCACAAGCTCTTTTTAAATTGGAATTATTAGTAGGTTCCCAGTTTGAGGAAAATTGTACTTCACATAAGAAAGCCTGACTACAGTTAGATTAAAACAAATGAGTCAAAATACTGTAAAAGTCACAGTCATTCACAGTCTTTCCTGGAGTTAGCCATTAATAAAAGATAATGAAAGTGCTAAGCCCCATTATGCCAATAAATTTATCAACAAGTATGAAAAAGGAAATTATTTTCAACATACTTATTAAATATGGAACTGAAAATAAATATTCTAAATTTACCTTTTTATTCTTATAGTATTATCTTTTCAAAAAAACAGAATTGCTACCCTTAATGTTATATGGATTGTAAATACATCAAATAAGCCATTCCTTCATCAGTGAAATTTCATTTATTTTGCTAACTAGCAGAAAGACAATATTTTCAACCTAAGTAGTAGCACTACTTTTTTTATGACTCTTCACTATAATTACTATAATTACTATGTCTTTATTTACTCTTTG